TAATATGGTTGGCTAGCTCTGTGTTGGTGGAATAATTAAAACCTTAGCTTGTTCTTCACATTAAGATAAGGTCAGAACAGCCTGATGAATGCTGCGTGAGCAGGAATGTGGAAGAAAATTAAATAAGATTCTTTAGGCTCATTCTTCCAGATTTTAAAACCTCTACAAAACCATTCCTTCATCTTTAGAAGGAGGTGGGTTGAGCAGGAATGGCTTGGAGATATTTAGTAAATCCTGCCCTCCTGCCATGAAGGTCTGTCTTTTATTTCTCTGCTGCTTTCCATACGACTAATCCTACCAGGAGCAAAAGCCAAGTATTCTGGGCATAGTTAATATAGTAAAATTCTCTCTCCTGTTGGGGATCAGAGATCCCAGTTCCTTGAACCCAGTTGATCTGGTGTTATTACTGGGTTGAGCTAGAAAAGTTTAACTGAGGCACAGTGTTAAGTAATTGAAAGTAAAAATGAATGGAAACAAAAAATAAAACTGGAGCAGCACAGGCAACAAGAATAGAAAGTAAAAGTAACCTGCACAAGTCTCAGTGTAACACAGAAGAATTTTATTTAGGGAGAACAAAGAGAAAGTTTAGGGCACTTCCAAAGAGAGCTGGAAGTGGGTCTCTCTCAAAAATGAGCTGAGGTGAGAGAGACAGAGATGCAAAGGCTGTGCAGAGGTGTAAATACCACTTCCTCTCTGTTTGAAATTGGTGGCAACTCTTTCACTGGCCTCTCTTCACCTCCAGGCATCATTGCCCTTTTCTATTGGTCATTGATTTTTGTCTCTTCCTATTGGTCATTGGTTACCTAGGTTACTGCATACCCACATTATTATGGGCCCTCCAGACTTCCTTGTTCAGCAGGCCAGGCTTTCCTCCCACCCACCTTGAAATCCCCTTCTTAGTGTTCCAGCTCAACCCCTACCAGTCACAATAATCTTTGTTTCTCCTCCCTTTTTACTCTTCCTTAATGGTTTGAAGCCTACTGCTTGGGTGGGCAGAAGTGCCAGAATTTTGCTAATATGAAACTTTGGTTGTGTGATTTCTTGTTATTTATAGGGTAAATTTTTGTTCTAAACAAGGAAGATGGAGTTAAAATAGAAGGCCCTGTCTTTCCTCACAGGACCTAGAGTTTTGTGCTCAAAACATGGCCCTCTTTTTCAAGCTGATCTATCAGTTTATGTGTCTTCAGGATGTCAACCTGGAGTGTAGGCTTGACTGCAGAGGTTGAAAATTCGACTTTTATCTCAATATCAACAGCAAACTATGCCATGCTTCAAAGTGGGAAAAGACATGGACCAGGTGTATTGCTAAGCCATCTGTTTTGGTGGTTGTGTGGAGAAGGACTGGAGGTAACCAAGAGGGGTGAAGACTAATGATACGGTAGTTGCAGTGATTTGCAGTGATTCTGGGGAGGCAAAATGATGGCTTGAATTAGAAATACAAATAGGGGAATGAGAAAGTATAAGAATTCTTAAATAATTGATACTGACATTAGTTTTAGGAATTTTATCCAGGGAGAGACAGGGAGGAATCAAGGATGGCACAGAGATTTTTGGCTCATTCAATGGAATGGATGTGGAAGCCGTTCCTTGAGATAGCCAATACTGGGGAGGAAGTTTGGAGATGAATGTGATAATTCACTGAGTTTGGACACTTTCAATTTGAGGTAGCTTTGGGTCATTAACTCAACTGCAATAACTAATAATTGTGTTAAATAATCACAAAATTCTTTATTGATAAATCCTTTCAGTATGTCACCTGTCAGCAGAAAAGAAAAGCCTTACTCTGTAAAATAATTTAAAGAGGTTTATTTTGAGCCAAATTTGAGGACAGAGACCTGGTGCCATACCCACGAGGCCTTAAGCAAGTGGACTCACTGTGGTGGGGTTACAGTTTGGTTTTATACATTTCAGGGAGACAGGAATTGCAGGTTAAGTCATAAATCCATACGTGGAAGGAATATATTGGTTTAGCCTGAAAAGTTGGGACATTGCAAAGTGGGGTGGTATGGGAGTGG